TTTTTAATGTTAATAAAAAAATAAAGAAAACATATTTTTTAAAAGATAAAAAATACATATTTTTATTTATCCTTAATTTATTAAAAATTAACATTATTAATATTTAATTATTCTTAACTTTTTTTTAAAAAGTTTCTCAAATTCACTACATTTTTATGATATAACGAAAAATAATTACTATTATTACCAACGTTCTATTACTTCTCCTTACGGAGTTTGATATACTTTCAAAATATTGGGAAATTAATAAAAAAAAATAATTACTATTACTAACCATATATAACTTAAATATGTAATTAAAAGATTTCAAATTATTATACTAAACACCTTTTAAATCAAATTAAATCTATTTAGCATTTCTTCAAGTCAATTTCATCAGTTTGGTTGGAAAGATGCCCAAAAATCAAACCAAACCGTAAAATTCCCTGCTCTTCTATGCATGGTTTTGAAAATCAGACCGATGATTGAATCGGTTTATTAATCGATTTTTGGTTTGGATGGTTTGATTGGTTCAATCGAGCGGCTGACCGGGTCATTTAAAAATGCCAGAATTTGGCAAATTGCTATGTTGGGCTTTTCCCGGCAGAATTCTGCTGCCATTTTAAGATTTTTTTTCCTTGCAATTTGTATTAAATACAAGTCCAAAAACTCAATAAATAGATTAAAAAGTGTCATACAATTACAAATCTCAAAATTAATAAATCTCATATATACATATATATGAAAAATAAGTTCAAAAACTCAAACTAATATGCAAATGATGCATAAATTAAAATTATTCATTGTTTATCCCCTAGTTGAGGATGATCTTCATTAAACCAAGCATCACATTCACGAAAATCATTTTCACTATCATTAGTATCATCATTTTCTTCACCAATTGACTCTAAGTCAATTCCTCCACTTGCACTACCAGTATGAAATGATCATTCTTTACCCCCTTATACTTATTCATCAATATTATGTGTGCCACCTTAAAGGTTAAAAATTAAAAACATATAATAAATAAAAAGTAACAAATAAATCATAATTCAAAACTAACTCACATAATCAACAAGATAATTCATAAAATGAACAAAAAAACATAATAAATTTAAAATCAAAATAGTATGAAAAAAAGCTTTGATTATTCACTAACTTTCTTTTTGATTTGTATGATATATTGGCATTGTTTAATCATTATATATCATATTTTCCAATTCATCATAATCAAGAATTTGAGAATCATCTTCTTCCATGACCCATTCCTCAACATTGTTTATACTTTCATAATCAATAAGATCAAAACAAGTCTTACTTTTGTTATCATTCCTATTATTCAAGATAAAAATAAAATTTTCATAACAAAAATATAAGAACATATAAACAATAAGAAATTGAACTTTATTAATATAGTACAATTATTACATAGATTAGATAAAGTACCTATGTTTTAAGTGCAAATTATAATGCACATAGACAAGATTATTCAACCTTTGGTGCTTCAATCTATTCCTCTTCTTGGTGTGTATTCTTTCAAATACACTCCAATTTCTTTCACACCCTGAAGACAACGACGTTTGACTCAAAAGTTGTATTGCTAATTTTTTAAGATTTAGAGTACTATATCCAAAATATTTCCACCACTTGTCTAGGGAGAAGACAAAAAGAAAAAAACATATGCAAATGTTAAAAAATTAAATATCATGAAGAATTAAACGAAAGTGCTATAATCTTAAAAAAATACTTAAAAAATTGAAAACTTACTAGGTTTCATAGTTTTTGAGGATTCAAGAGCACTTTCACGACCAAAACTTTCCATTTTTTTGTCATACAACTCACACTCATTCAAAAATTTAGACATCTGAGATGGCACTTTTGCATCCACAACATCCATAAAACCTTTCATGACTTCTTTCTTGGTTGAAAAATTCTCTTTATCATAGAAAAAAGCAGGATTTAAGTAATATGCAACAGCATGAAGATGTTGACGAAGTTGCCTATCCCACCTTTCCTTGATAATTCTTGTATAAGGCTTATACAAAGACTTTCTATTCATCAATATAGCCTTAATGGCCTTTCGAGCTCTGTACATGCCATCATATACATATCCAAGTGAAGGCCTCTCATCACCATCCACAATTCTAAGCAAGCGAATAAGTAGCCCAACAATTTTCACAACAAGCTCACAATTATTCCAAAATTTTTTATCTAGAACAACAGTCACAACATCATTTGCCTTATGATCCTTGTAGTATCTAGACTCTTTAAATTCTAGACTAGTCACCAATGCTTGTAAGTCATGCCTATGCTCATGAATGCTTTTCAAAGCAATGAATGTTGTTGCAAAACGTATTGGCCTAGGACATATAATTTCTGTCCATCTTTCTCTTTGTCGTAGCCAAGCCAACAAGAAAAGATGATTGTATATAAATTTAGATACCAAAGATGCACGACTTGCAATATTACTAACAACCTCCAACTTTCCAATATCATTCAAAATCAAGTTCAAACAATGTGCAGCACAAGGATACCAAAATATTGTAGGATAAATGTCATTTAACAATCACCCAGCCTTTTTATAATTGGCTCCATTATCAGTCACTAAGTGCACAACATTATTAGCACCAACAAACTCAACCAATTCTCTAAACAAATTGCAAAACATGGAAGCATCTTTAACAACA